GGGGGATGCTGAGTAAAAAGTAGAGCAGGCTCTCCTCAAAGATGTCACCTCGGTTCCTTTCCGGTCCCCATCTCCGATAAAGCTGCCCTAGCCACGGGCTATGCCCAGCGCTGCTCACCAGGGCCCTAGCAGGAGTGTTTCGGGAGAACTAAGAGAGATCCAGCCGCTTCTGTGGGGTTGGGAGTCCCCTGTCTTGGGGCAGGAGCGGAGCCCACCTACCTCTGCACCTATGGGGAGCGGTACAGGGGAAAGTGTGCCCAGTGGTGACTGAGAGGCTGGCAAGGTCCTCCTGTGGCGACTCGGGCGGAGTGGCAGGCCAGAGGGTGTCTCCTCCTGCTCCTGTTTCCCATTTGTTGGGAAAAGGGAAGACAGTCCTCTTCTAACTAGAAGCAAATGCTTTGTCTCCTCTTGAGATTAACAAACAAACAAACAAACAAACACCAAGGGGCATTTTCCCCATCAGGACTTCTTCAAAAACAGGACACACTTCTCTTTCCCCCACCACAGCCTCCTCACTGGCATCTTGGCCTTGACCGTCCCCTTGTTTCCTGATGCGCTTTTGTCCATCCAACAGGATTGGTGGGGCTCGGTTTCCTCCTCCCTCCAGCCACGGAAGTCCCTTGCTTCTGTCTTAACTGGAAGGGTCTAATTACTCAAGGTGTTGGTTTCTCTGTGGCAGGAGAAACTATTCTCACTGTTTTGTACTCTTTCCTTCCAGGTGCCAGCCACCTTTCCTCAACACCTGCTTCCTGGGTTGGGGGGGGGGGGATGGCGGGAAAGATGTGGGTTGATGGGAGAGAAGGGGCCAGAGTGTGTTCAGCATGAGTACAAGCCTCTTTTTGAGCCAGAGGGGCTCCAGGCTTGCATGAATTCTCCCTCCTGGGGGACGAAACGGGGAGAGCCCACGGCTCCAAGTAGCATGGCAGACATGCCCTCTTCCAGGCTGCCTCCTTCTCCTTGTCAAAGAAAGGGCCTTGCAAAGAAACCTGCCAGAGCAGCACCCATGCATAACTCGGAAGGAGACGAGAGAAGCTTTCCTGGAGGTTGGTGGACACCCTCTCCAGCTCTCTCCCTGTCCCACTGGTTTTATTCCTCTCCCTGAGGCACCCTCAGAGGGACAGGGTGCCTTAGTGAACCCCAAGAAAGTCTTGTCTGGTCTGCAGGTAAGCTGTGTGACATTTCCCAGCCTCTGGGGAGCAGCTTCTCTAATAGTCAAAGATTTTGATGATTATTCAAAGAGACTAAAACAAAAACTCCACAGTAAGCTGTGGAGAAGAGAGAGTATATGGGGGATCTGGGGGGGCGGGGAACTTCCACTTAGTTTTTGCTCCCTTCCAAGAACTTTAAAGCTAGAGGGGAATGTTATAAACTATAGACCATAATACCTCTAACACATGTCGTCTTAGATGAGGTGCATGGCTGCAGTCACTGGGACTGCCCTGAGTTTCTTCCTACCTGTTACATAAACATGCACACAGATGCACACACATACATGCAGTCAGTTGTGAGGCACATAGGACCAACCACAAGCTACAACTCCTGTGCTATTAGAACTTCTGTCCATCAGGAGGCCGCTGCCTCTTCCGCTTCTGCTGACCACACATTCTAAGTCACAGATCATCATACAACTGCCCCTGACGCAACAGGGTCACTTGCATCTTTGGGGCTCCCAACAAATAAACCGCAACCTGGCGGCCTGAACGCAGTAGATTCAGAGGCCCTCCTTCACTGTCTGCTTCCAAGGGCACAGAACAAAGGTCATCTGGGGGCACAGGGCCAGGATAAAGCTCCCTCTGGGCAACACATGCTCCTGTCCAGAGTTGGATGACCTCCGCGGACCAGGCGGCACTGTATCCCTAGGGCCAGTCATTAGGATGACTTCCCAAAGCAGCAGGTCATTTGCCTCCAGACCCCGGTTCGCCATCAAAAAATGATGGTAAGAGTGTAAATCGGTATTTTTGTCTGGGACGGGTAGTTTGGTAATACCTTTTAAATTTGCAAAAGCAGATGCCTTATGATATAGTGATTCTATTTATAGCAATTTGTTCTACAAATACACTCACACATATGAAAAGACATGCGAAAAAGTTATTTACTACAACATCATTTATTAATAAAGACTGGGAGAAAATTAGATGTCCATTAGCAGTCAACCAGTTTTGTGGATTGTGGTAAATCCATACAGTTGAATACTAAAAATGGGAAGTTTTTGTGTATTGGTATACAAGGCTCACAGATAACAGGCTGTTAAATTAAAATAATTAAGGTGCAGAACAGTGAGTTCATTTTACTACCCTTAGAAAAGAAAGGGCAAAAGCACACATATTTGTATTGACTTATTTATATACAAAATATTACTGGAAGGATAAACAAGAGAGTAATGGTGGTTACCTGCTTGGGATATACAATCCAGTATGAAGGCATTTTGCATAGCTTGCATGCATTTTGTATAGTCTGATGGTTGAAAAATGTGATTGCATTACCTATTCAAAAGATTAAATTGAAAAAGGAAACCAAATGGCAAAAGGAAGAGCCTTTCGCCCTGTCATCAGCGTGGGCTGGGAGAAGGCCAGACAGAGAATTTGAGGCGAAGGGTCCCCGCCCCGCCCCCAACCCCAGCAGAGAAGGAAGTGCGCCAGGTGCTGCAGCATCGCTCTGTTGGCTCATAAAATCCCCCAGTAACAGAGGCCCGGAATTTCTCTCCTCACAGTCTCCTATGGGTTTCCGCATAACCATTCCCTAAACTCAGGCACACTCCTGTGGTTAGGGAAATGTTTTTTTAATGTAAACATTTTTACACACTTTTTCAGACTAACAAGGTCAACCTGTAAAACAGTGCTATCCTTTCAAGTGGCTTGACTTCCAGGCTCCCCTTTCTCTTCCCCCACCAATTCTGATGTCCCGAGGGGAAAAAGATTGCTGAATGGCCTGTATTTGTTTTAGAGATTACTCTTCAAGAATCTTATGACACCCCTTTGAGATAACTGGCAACACTCTGGGGTGTTGCAAACACAGCTTGGGAGTGACTGCCTTGATCGGCAAGAGGCCCAGCCAAGTGGGGCCTCCACCACTCAGACCCGGGGCAGTGGCTGGGGCTGAGCCTCTTCACCTCCGCCCACTGGGCATTCCCTCGGAGCCCGGGGTCTGCTTGGGGTATTACGTGGGCACGGAAGTCGTTGGCTTGGGAGCCCCTGACAAACCCAGCTCCTGGGTGAGCCGCGGGGTCCCTGGAAGATGAAACTAGTTCTTTCTCCTCAGGGATAATTTTAGGTCCTCACTTCCCCTCCAGTCTTTCAAACCCCCAGCCCCTGGCTCAGCCTCCCAGAGGGACTGCTTAGACCAGTGACTATACAGGGTTCTTTGGAAATATAGAGCTGTTCAAAAGAGACATTCTGGGGGAGGCATTTTCCATGGTAATTTTTCCCCTTTTTGTCTCATTTTTTCAGGGGAGGAAGTAAGACAGCTCAAGTCGGGTTCTGATAAAACTTAATGAAGGTACCATATCTTCCTGGCCCTGACCTTGAACCCAGGGTCTTATTTTCCAGCCTCACGTCCCCACACCCAATTTCGGAGGAACTGGCTTAGAGATTGGAATAGCTTTGCTGGCAGAACCAGCTGTAAGTTGAAGGGGGGGGAGGGGAAGTCGCCTCTGAGCTCCTTCAAGTCAAAGGAACCTCTACTGGGACTGTGGGAGAGACTTCCAGAACATCAAAATACCAGGCCTCTCATTCTGTACACTCAAACATGTCACCTGTGAATTCCTCAACTCAGTGTCTTTATTTGTAAAAGTTCATGAATAAAATCTTCAAGAAAGTAGAGTGAGCACGTTCCCCTGGGGACGGTGGTGATGGAAGATTTGTGGATAGAGGGGGGCGATGTAGACAAGACTCAATCTCAAACCCATTCATTCATTTCATGTCTTTACAACAGAAGATATTTTTTTAAATTAAGATTTTATTTATTTTTTGAAGTATTTTATTTATTTTTAGAGGGAAGGGAAAACAGGGAGAGGGAGAGGAAAAGAAACATTGATGCGCGATGGTTGCGTCTCCCACGAACACTGACAAGGAACCTGCAACCCAGCCATGTGCCCTGATGGGGACTCCAGCCGGCGACCTTTCGCTGTGCAGTCTTAGCCCAACCAACCGACCCACATCGGTCAGGGTACAGCAGAAGATTTTTCAGAGAAAGAGCCCATTTAGAAAATTTCAAGGTGGAAAAGTGTGTGGAAGAGCAATGTGAATTGAGGAAGATGGAGAAATCGAAACTCCCAGCATCCCGGGCCAGAGGAGGCCAAATCGAAATTCAAATGAGCGGGGCTAAAAAACCGGCGAATGTCCCCAGTAGGGAGTGGGGGGCGGGGGGGGGACACGAGCCAGAGTAGATTAATGGAGGGGCAGGGAGGGTAACTGAAATAGAGAGAAAGGGGACAAATTTCAGGGAAGTGGCCTCGTGGGAGAAGAGAGGATACTGACTGCGCTCCATCACTTAACTTACTGTACCTTAGGGGAGGGCGCCCAAGTAGCTGAGGGCCTTCGGTGGGTGGAAAGGGTTATCCTTTCCTCTGACACAACAAGCGAGGAGGCCAGGGACGCAGTGCTGCCCAACGCTGTGCTGAGTGCGCGGAACTGGTTACGGCAGAAGTGGGCACATCGTGGCAGAGAACCTGGGCCTCCGTACTGCAGATTTGGCTAAAGGAAAAGTCGGGCGTCCATCTCGCTTCCCTCCCTACCCTCCAATTCCCCTCCTGGCGCCGAGCGTTGAGACTATTGGCCGCTGCCCCTTTAAGGGCCGCCACTCCCCCGCCCCCTCCAGCGGTGGCACCAAGTGAGGGGTGTAGGGGGGGGAGGATGGGGTAGGCTAAGTTTTCTCTCCCAGTCAACTAGGGAAGATGGCCCAGGCCCGGGAGATCGCTCCCACGCCCCGCTGCCCCCTCCCCTGAGTCCCAGGAGCTGGGAGCTCCCTTCCTTCTTTCCCTCCGCCCCGTGCACGACGTGGGAATGGCTCCGCGGCCAGACGGGAACAGCTCTCTGGCCTCGTGGCCAGATGCCCCCACCCTGGCACCCAATACTGCCAACACGAGTGGGCTGTCAGGGGTGCCGTGGGCACTGGCACTGGCGCTGTTGACACTGGCCGTGCTGGCCACCGTGGGAGGCAACCTGTTGGTAATCGTGGCCATCGCCCGGACACCGAGACTCCAGACCATGACCAACGTGTTCGTGACTTCTCTGGCCTCAGCGGACCTGGTGGTAGGACTCCTGGTAGTGCCGCCGGGAGCCACCTTGGGGCTGACTGGCCACTGGCCCCTGGGAGTCACTGGTTGCGAGCTGTGGACTTCGGTGGACGTGCTGTGCGTTACCGCCAGCATCGAAACCCTGTGCGCCCTGGCGGTGGACCGCTACCTGGCCGTGACCAACCCGCTGCGCTACCACGCGCTGGTCACTAAACGCCGAGCCCGGGCAGCCGTGGTCTTGGTGTGGGTCGTGTCCGCCGTGGTGTCATTTGCGCCCATCATGAGCAAATGGTGGCGTGTAGGGGCCGACGCCGAGGCGCAGCGCTGCCACTCCAACCCGCGCTGCTGCTCCTTCGCCTCCAACATGCCCTACGCTCTGCTTTCCTCCTCCGTCTCCTTCTACCTTCCGCTGCTTGTGATGCTCTTCGTCTACGCGCGAGTTTTTGTCGTGGCTACGCGCCAACTGCGCTTGCTGCGTCGGGAGCTGGGCCGCTTCCCGCCAGAGGAGTCTCCGCCGGCTGCGTCTCAACCTCCGTCCCCAGCCCCCGCCGGCCCGTGCGCTTCGCCCGCAGCGGTGCCTTCCTGCGATCGCAGACCCGCGCGCCTCCTGCCTCACCGGGAACACCGGGCCCTGCGCACCTTGGGTCTCATCGTGGGTACATTCACTCTTTGCTGGTTACCCTTCTTTGTGGCCAACGTGGTGCGCGCCCTCGGAGGCCCTTCTCTGGTTCCCAATCGGGCTTTCCTCGCCCTTAACTGGCTAGGCTATGCCAACTCTGCCTTCAACCCTCTCATCTACTGCCGCAGCCCCGACTTTCGCTGCGCCTTCCGCCGCCTGCTGTGCCGCTGCCGGCCAGAGGAGCACCCCGCCGCTGTCTCCGCTTCCTGCTCCCCTGCGGCCCTGGCCAGCTCCGCGCAGTCCCGGCAGTTCCCACCTCTCGACGGGTAGGTAACCGAGGCAAAGGGGCTGACAGCTCGAGGTCAGGAAGCCCTTGGTGTCTCCTGTGGTCGATTTTTTGAGTTTGGGGTTTGGCAGGAGAAGGTGGAGCTGGGGAGGGACTCTGCCTTGAAAGAAGGGGTAACATGGATTAGGGAACAAAAATGGAAACCACGGTCCATTCTTTTCCCGAATCCGACCCGTTTGGCCCTAGGATTGAAACGAAGGAGGGCGAGCAGGTTGTTCTTCACCTCAGCGTCCAGTGTGTGCGCCAGGACAGTGCTGCTGTGCCCGAGGCCTCTGGCCTGCCTGGTCAGTCAAGTTTCGAGTTTCTACCTTAGTTCTATGGTCACCCGGATTCCTGGTCACCACTTGGGCTGGTTTTGGGCTCGCAGAGACAACTGGAGCCACTCCCAAGTCCTTGGCCTCAGTTCTGCTTTCTCTGAAAGGTTTGATAGGTCTAGGGGTGAGAATCCGCTCAGGGTAGGAAGGACAGAGGGGAGTGAGGAGCCAGTGGTTGGGTGGGGCCCAGGCGTTTTTTGTACAATTACGTGTTTTCTAGGGTCTCTGATCTCTACCCCTGCCCCCTTGTTCCCCTGTCCCCACCCTGTGTGCCCCCATCCCAAGATTTGCTATCTTCATTTTTTCCAGGGCTTCCTGGGGAATTTCTTAGGCCTCGAAGGACAGGAAACCACAGCTCCGTTGACCCGGAACCCTTGGAAAGCTCTGACCTCTGCTTAGAATGAGCCCCGTGGAGCTTCCCAGCTGGAAGACTCCGCCCTCCAGAACCTGATGACTGGGCCACCTGGTGGGAGGTGGGGACTGGCAGGGAGGGGAATCCTTACCAAGCAGGTGTTTACCATCCTCTCTCCTTCTTTCTGAGAGAAGTTTTATAAACCCCATCCCTGAACTTCACCAATACCTCAGCCCCTGGAGAGCCCGGCTGCCTGTGCTCAGCTGCTGGGCTAGCTTTGGCGGGGCACCTTGTTCACTTGTATGCTTGTGCTTAGGGCAGAGAGAGCACCCCTCATTCTATTCCTTCTGCCCGTGTCCCCCCCGCCTCCTGGACCTAATGAACCACTCAGTGTTCTCTAGGCTTGGCAGCCCGGGCTGAGAGCAGGAAGCTAAAAAAGGTCAAGGTTTGGGATTTCTGTCCCTGCTTTCTCACCACTGTTCTCTAAGCACCAGCCTCACTCTAGACATGGAACAGCTCTGATCTACCTCACAGCAGTGTCAGGGGGGCCTCTTCAGGGCCTGGGGGGACTCCGAGGTTCATAGGAAGGCCAACCATTGGAATGGATCCCTTCTTTACTTTTTAAAACAACTTAATAAATATTATTGAATGCAGTTCATCCACACCTTCTTTTTTCTCCATCTGTTTTCTTTTCATAATCCACTTACTCCCTTGTTAGAGCTGGCTTTTAACAGGGGCAATAAATTAGGACTAATCCTCGTCCCTTTCTTCCTAATCCTCCTGAAATGAAAATGAAACATCCGAGCAAGCTGGAACCTTTGACACTCCTGCCTCCCCATCCTTTCCAGAACTCCTGGAATCCAGTTCGAGTGAGTAGCAAAGCCATGCTACCCACAGGACTTGAGCAAAGTGCCCACAGGGTTGGGTTTGCTGGGCTCAGGATCAAGGCACAGGGAGCATATGTCAGCTCCAGTGCTGCAAGCTGGTGGTGGCTTCGTAAGATCCCGTTGTGAACAGGGATCAGCTTTGTTCTAGCCGTACGTGTGTGTTTCTGGAGACACAGAGCATTGTGTTGGACAAATGTCTTGGGTTATAAATATATTCTGACGTTTCCATTCTCTTCATAACCTCTACCTTCCCACTCCCTTTCCTGGGCTGCAGAAATCTGTATTATCCTCTGTAAGTAAAACTGGAATTACAAGTTTGGGCCAGCTGATAATATTTTTTCTTATTCCAATTTTTATGAATCTTATCAGGCCGTTTTCTATGGAGAGAAAATCTCTTTGGAAATCACTGGATCATGTTGTGAGTTGTTATTTGAACTCCATGAGCAAAGGCCATTGTCCAGGCTGATTTACAAGGTAGCTTGTAAATCATAAAAAGTTTAATGCGAAGCACGACAGCAGCATACAATGCATTGGCTAGGTTCAGGGGCTCCGGAGCTATAAAACTTTGATTTGCCCTGAGGATAAGCTTGGTGGATTTCCACATATGGGTGTTCCCTGTGAGTTGGACTTGACCTAGGCTGTTCTCTTTTCTCCAGGAGCCCAGGTTTTATTTCTTAGGATGTTTGCATACCAAAGATGACTTTCTCCTTTTCAACCCAGAGCAGTATGAACTCTGCTGTCTGAGGTGTAGAAGGTTTCTGGGTATGGCCTCAACTTTTGAACGCTTGGTGGAGGAGGAAGTCTTGCTTTAGCCTGAGGATAAGTAAGAGGGCCTCCTCCCCTCATCTCTGAATATTTCCCCATCGTCACTGAGGGAAGTTGTCCAGTCAGTCCTAGGCAGGGGAGAAGGATGATTTGGGGAGGGTGGTGTGGGGGAGGGTGGAGAGTAGCTGGATTCTGGTTTGTAGAAATGTCCTTGAACATTATCCAGGAACTCATACTGCTTGAGTCTTGCTTGACATATACCCGTGTGCCAGCTGTCAGACTCTGTTGGAGTGTTTAGACTTGCACTGGGGCTCTGGACTCCATCTGCGAATTGTCACCAATGTATCTGACAGATGGAGAAGCAGCCACTTTGGTCGTATCTCCAGGAACTTGTGGCCAGGTGTCAGGCTGAGGGAGATTTACATCCCTGGATGAGGAGCAGGCTGCTTTTGTAAGCATGAGACCTGAGCACTTAAACTGTGGAAGGCAAACAACCGTCCTTTGAACCTAGAGATGTGAAGACTTACAGACCAATGAGAATGAAAGAGCCCGCGGAACCCCTGGCCTTGCCAGAGTCTGTTAGCAGGACCTGGGCGTGGGGCAGAAATGACAGGGAGCAGGGGGCTGAGTCCGAGGAGAGGGAATGAGGACTGACTGGATTTTCCAGAGGAATTGCTAAGGATCAGGCAGAATGCGGGCGAGGGGGAGGCCGATAACAGGTTTTCTTCAGGTTCTCTCTCCAGGCTGTGGTCCTCAGCTGTAATTCCACACCGGCTTCATTCTGCAACACTTTATAGAGTAGGAGCAGCTTCCCCTCTTGTCCAGGGGCACAGGTGAAGGCCACAGAAATAGTGTTCCTCTATGTTTCCATCCTGAAAACCAAAGATCCAGGCTCCTCTCAGGCCTCCTGGTGGACTCTGTCTGCGTTTGTGCGTCTGCCCAGAGGGGAAGGGGGCGCCTGCAGCTGGGAGTATTGCTAATGCTCTCCCCCACCCCCCTGCAAAAAGTCCTAGATATCACCAGCCTCGGGCTGATTAGTGAGCGGTTGAAGCACAATGCACTACTCAGTTTGATTAGCAGAAACTCCAGATGGCCATCTAATCTTTCATTAGCTCATCTTATTATGAGGTTAAGGAAAATCAAAATGCTTTCCTCGTTTATAAAATAAATGCAGACTAAAACTTTCTCTCCTTTCTTGCCTTCAGAAGGGGAATGAGCGTTTCTAGGATAGCTGGCTCTCCTCAAGTTCTGTGAAGTACGAGGCAGAGCTTTGCACCTTCAGCATCTGCTCTACCCACGGCGTAAGGGGTGCTAGGCGCCCCCTGATGGAGACGTGAGGTACAACAGGTGTGGAATTCGCCACTTTGATCGGGTGAAAACACAAGTTGTTTCACCCCACCCCTTCCCCGCCCCCTGCCTTTGCCAACTGGGAGAGACCGTAGAAACGATTTAGTCCGTTCCTTTGATAAAATGGATTAAGGAAACTGACTTCTGGAAAGGCGAATTGTGAGAAGCCAAGATTACTTTAGTAAGTGAAATGCAACACTGTGGTTGGTAGTAGAAAGAGCACAGGATTCAAAGCTGGAAAACAAGTAAGAAAGGGAGGAGGAAAGAAATGATCATTAATTGAGCACAAATAAATGTGACTGTTACTTGGTGTCATTACAAATGTTGTGTGGTAGTGACACAAATAAAAAATAGAGCCTCACAGAAATCAAAGAGCTCGCTTGTGTTGATTCTAAGGGCAGTCTATCACACTCCAAAGTTTATTTTCTTTCCTCTACACGCACTGCTAATAATCAGTTATGGAACATTGAGCAAGTTACTTACCTCTCTGACACATTGTTTGCCAGTGAATCAAGTGGAGATTTTATCATTATTTTACTCAGCTCAGGCAGACTGGTTTGGAAGACCAAACGAGAGACTGTCTGTAAAAATGGTCTGGACACTGAAAGAGCTTCTCAGTATGGAGCTGGGACTAGTTTTAGGTCTCCTGGTTTTGATTCTTATATGGTCCTGCTTCTGCTGACAGCCTGGATCTTGGACCCATTTGTCTGTAGTCACTGTGGTCATGCCCTACCTTACCCTGGTTCTGCAGGTTCCTCCCCATCTCAGACTGATTCTGCATGTTCTATATCCATGTCATTGTGTACATCTTCCCCTCTGGCTCTCTTTTCACGTTCAGGCCCTGGTCTGGTCTGTGTCTGACATTTTGGTTCTGGTTCGGTTCACCCCATCATTGCCCATGAAGCATTTATAATGAGCTAAATTTTAACGCTGGACAGAAGGTTTTGGACAGAGGGCACTTCCAGATGTCAGTGCTTTAGGGGACATAGTCAAGTTAGTGAGAAGGGGGCCCTAAGGGACCAGAAAAAAAAAAAAAAGGTGGTGCTAGGGCTGCCATAACAAATGACCCCAAACAGAAATGTATTCTCTCTCAGTTCTAGAAGCTAGAAGTTGAAAGTCAAGGTGTTGGTTGGAGCACGCTCTCTGAAGGCTCTAGGGGGTGAATCTCTCGTGCCTCTTGTGGTTTCTGGTGTTTGGGACCATCTTGGTTGCCTGGCTTGTAGCTGCATTGCTCCAATTCTGCCCATCTTCTCATGGCCTTCTTCACCTATGTGTCTGTGCCCAGTTTTGCCTCTTCTTATAAGAACATAAGCCTTGGCTGGGTTTCTGAGTTACTTGGAGCATTGTCCTGTACACCAAAAAGGTTGCAGTTTTGATCTCTGGTCAGGGCACATACCTAGGTTGCAGGTTTGATCCCCAGTCAGGGTGTGAGCAGAAGGTTTCTCCATCAAATCTATGTTTCTCTCTCTCTCTCTCTCTCTCTCTCAAAAATCAATAAAAACATATCCTTTGGTGACGATTTAAAAAAATCCCCACCAGTTATTAGATCAGGGCCCAACGTAACTCAGTAAGACTTCATTTTAACATGATTACATCTACAAAAACCTTTTTCTCCCAATAAGGTCACATTCACAAGTTCTGGAGGTTAGGACTTCAACATACCTTAGGGGGACACAATTCAGCCCACAACAGGGGATGTGATGGGGAAAGAAGAACACTATTACGCCTAGTCTTCTCATGCTCATCTTATTCCCGCTGTTGCCCACACTTCCAAGGCTCTGTCTCATCCTATACTCCATCAGAAGGGTGGTGGAGTGCTTCCATTCCTGGATTTCCATTTCTAGGCCTTTGCTCCCATCCCTTGGGCCCCAGATTGGAGATGCAGGCCACTGCTAAGTCAGATCTGTGTTTGTTGTATCCTGTGGGCTGAAGTTGCTGCTCATTCTCCATTCTTCCCTTCATCCTTTAGTGATAGATCCC